CATTTCTATATTTTAAAAAGAAATTAAAAGACATTCATAATTGAAGGACATCAAAATCAAAACATACTGATATGGCAATGAAATGAACTGAAATATAAACAGAACCTTAGTTTTAAAAATGTGACAATACTTCTTTAGTATTGCAGCTTCTATTTTTTTAAACATCAATCTGGCATCAGAATTATTGCCAAGTTGATGTCTCATGTACACTTTGTTACTGCCCTGCTTCCTCAATTGCTTTTAATGTGGTATAAGAAGCATTCCAAGGTCTCAAAGATTTTTGCTGTATTAACTCTGCAAAGTAAGATTCATGATGATAGCGAAACGTGCCTCTTCAATTTTTATTCCACCACTTAGCGGAGCTCCACAGTCTTTCGATATTGTATATATGAGCAGCTGTTGTTAGATAAAGAAAATTAAATTTATTGTCCGCAGAAAAATATCTGTAAGCTGGTATTTACCAGTTCTTGTCTTTTATATTCTCACCAGAAGTTTGAATAAATTGTCACTCCCTCTTGTAGATGGTCGACAAGTTTTGGCATGAGTGTGGATGGCTCTCTATTTAGAAACTGAGCGAGAAAGAATTTTTCAGTTTTTTGGCATAACTTGTCATATATACAGCATTGTGAAAGAATCATGCCAGTTTGGTTTTTTGCTGTATGAACAGATTTTCCGCTATGTTCAAAATTTTTTCAGGGCCACCTATTCACATATTTGGTTGGCGGATCATATGCAGAGAATATATCTCTCTCGTAAAAATGTTTCAGTGAATAGTCCAATTTTCTAGTGTTTCTTTCATTTTATGCTGTTACAAACAGTATTCTGAAACCACTAAACCAGCTGTTAAAACATATACTTTTCTTTCATTTGCAAATTTTCAAGCTGCACCTCTAAATGCTTTCACTGATGTGAAATTTTATTTAATGTCCATTTTTGCATACTCGAATGTGATGTAAAATATGTGCATTTCTTGAAAGAAAGATACAGCAAGCATCTTCCTTACTTCTCAGTAAATTAAGAATTTTAAGATTAAAATATAAATAAAATTCATTAACATTACAATACTGAGAGCTCTTCTTGTGATGAGAAATTTGATGAGTGATTATGAATTACTAACATTTGCATGGTAAGAAATATGATCACATGATCTCCTCGAAGCTCTTCTCATTATAAGCAAACTGCAAATCATTATTGTTGGGGCTGCCAGATGCTTCAGAATAGTTTACATTGGTGACTTATCAAAAATCTTGACACCTTTAAAAAACATAATAATAAGGAAGAAACAATATCACATCCTTACCAAAGCTTGGTTTAATTTATTTGATTATAGCACGTAAGGGCTATCAACCTAAAACGGTGGATGTCTTTGTGAAGGACTTTCTGGGGGAAACTGGCTCGTATCTACACTAGAAAAGCCTGGAATCCATCTTTGAAGTCATTTTTAAGCCTTAAATTGATATTAGCTTTCTATGAAAATACCTTGGCAGCTTCACAAGAGCTCATTTCGCAGAATAAAAATTTGTTATTTAAATTTAGTGTGTGTGCAATATATTTTCCAAAACTATTCAGAATAAAATTATATACACATTAAAAATTCTGAACATGCAAAAAAAAAAAAAAAAAAAAAAAAAAAAAAAAAAATTCTTCCAGTAGATCTTTTGTTTAAATATATTACATGATAGTTTTTCCATCCAAAGATTGTGTAAATAATTTATATTTCAACCAGATTCCTTTCAGATATAATAAAATAATACAAGTTTTCACATTTATTACAAAATGTTCGAAATTTTAAATTCATTAATTATTCATTTGAATATTATATAGAGAAACAAATATTATCTTTTTTCTAATACAATGACGAAAGTAAATCACAAAACACTAATTATTACATGAAATGCACTGCAAATATTAAAAGAATTAATTTAAAACTGAAATCTCATATATTCTGCAGTGATTTAAAATAAACACAAGAGTATATTGGAAAGCTTTACATGCTAAAATGTTAATATTTGATATGTATTTAGTTAGCATCTGTAGTATTTTCAGAAAAATTTTATCTACTGAAATTCATATTGCGCAAACATGTAGCGTAAGGGACGTATCTTTCAGGTGACATCATATTTCACATAGTTCGGATGTCACGTGACCACCCTGCACGTTTGGGGATTTAGCGCTGACCGAAATAAAGAACCTCAATCTTGCTTTGTGCTCATTGGTTTATGTATGCCAGATGACTTGCAGCGGCGCTTGCTTCTCATTGGAAAATTGGAGTAAAACGGAAGACACGTGTTTTAGATTCTCATACACAAAGCAGAAACGCACTATATCTCAGTTATGAAACGACTTCGGTATTTTTTATATGCATGTAGAGAAAAACATGTGCTTTCAGACGCCCAAAACCGCTTTTAGGGGGCAAATAACGAAGTATTAAGCCAGGCTATATAAATATCGTGAAGAATTTAAAGAATAAGAGAAAGTCGGGAGAAATATGTTAAAAATCCGGTGGGGCGGGGGGTATAATCAGAAATGCGGAATCTCTCGCGAAAATCGGGAGAGCTGGCAACTGATATGGCATTGATTTATTGATAAGGATCCATGCTATAGGTTTGGTAAATGATCCAATAAAAGTAGAATCATCAGCATCAAATGCGTTGTTTCTATTGCGAAACACTCGAGTTTTTAGCAAATCTTAAATTAAAATATCCATTACGTACACTTCCAAAAACTATCCGTGACCTCCGCCATCTTCAGTTTAACCACAGTCAACTGAAAGAACATGGCTAGAGCTACTAGAGAGAAATATATAGCCCTTTAGACGAGGGCATCTAAATTCACGAAGGTCACTATTAACTCTAATAAACGACAGTCAGAAAGTTAAACGGCAGCTGCACAGCTGACGGAGAAATCTCCGACGCTTCGATCTCTGTAATGATCGAGACGATGACACAAGACTCGCTCTTTGTCGAGTAGATCGCACTCGTGAATAAAATACGATCTCTGTGTTTGTGTGTGCTAAAAAGAAGACCCGTTCTTGCATCTCGACAATGTCCAGACTAGGGCCCTTCTACTACTAAGGACATATAGTGAATTTGAGTTTCAGAAAGCAGCTCCTCCTTTTACTCTGTATCACGTGAAGAACATCAGTAAAACAAAAAGACGAAAGTAAAAGTCAGGTGGCCGCCATCAGTCAACGAAAAAGGTGAGTGTCTGGTTGAAGGTCCAAATCAGTGAACTGAAGAATTTAGTATAAGTAAAAAATGTTAAGGATGGAGAATATCAGATGGATATTTGTGCTTTTCTCTTGGAAATGGAGAAAATCTAAGAGAGTTGATGCAGTTGTTAGGATGAGTGAGAACCGAATAGAAGAAATTTCTGGCAAGTTTTTGAATATAATCTTGAATTGTGTCTACTTTGAGATCACGGTGCATATAAGAATTTGGAATGAACCATGGCACTTTGATGATCTCTCTGAGTGCTTTGCTTTTGAAGAACTTGGATGTGTTGAAGGTGAGTTTTGGCAGCGTGGCCCCAGACAGGACTAGTATAGAGTAATGCTGGTCGAAGTATAGATTTATATAAGGGGAGTTTATTAAAAACGGACATATGACTTCTTCTGCCAAGAAGTGGGCGCATAGTTGCAAGCGTGATATTGATTTTTTTCACAGTTTCCTTGAGATGTTTCTGAAAAGTCAATTTTTATCAAGAATGACTCCTAGATATTTAACTTCGTCAACTAGGGCACTTCTTCGTTTGTTTACCCAAGTGATGAAGCAAGGTGAAACCACCTTGCGTCTCTAAAGCGCAGACTCGTTGGACTTGATGTGCAGAATCGTTCATAGATGAACCTTATTCCGAAAGTGAAATCGGTTTGCCTGAGCATATCATCGGCGATGCGCACGTGCAGGGTTCGAGTGTATCGAGGTAAATTGCTGTTGTTCATTTAAATTCTCTTCGAAGTTTATGTTGCTTCTTGAAATATTAAGATTTTAGATAATGTTTTCATAATTTACGTGCATTAAGCTGTACGCTTTGTTGTGATAGTGGGAAAATGAATTTAGTAATTTGTATATTGTCATACATTGAACTGTTTCAAAGATCAGACATAGTTATATTGTGATACCTAGCAAAGTACTAATTATGTTGATTATTCGCAGAATACTTTTAGGAGTATTTGGATGTCATAAGTTCTTTGTAACTAGTCACTGTAGTAATTATTTCTGTGATGTGAATATTGTTATCATGCGTTCTATCGAAGCCCTAAATTGTTTTTCGAAATAATTATAGAACTGTAAAAGTTTGTATGCATACTCCTTTTTTTATTTAGAAAAAACTTTGTATATATTAGTAGATTAAAAGGTAGTTAAGGCCCTCATATTAAATATAAGAAACTGATTGCAGAGTGTAGTACTGTCATTTTATGTACATAGAAGGTTAATCATTATCCACACTATTAATTTTTATTTCAGATTTTAATGATATGAATGGCAGTCACGAAGCTCATAATATTATTGGAATTCGGTTGATTCCAGATGGAGGTGTTGTCCAGCTTGATAACAGAAATTTATCTTATCAAGATGGAATAATAGGTTCTATAATTTGCTCTGATTTATCTATGTTGGTCCAAGATTTTCGTGACCTCTTAATAGCAGAGCTTTCTGATTTACCTGAAGAATTTCGCTTCTTGTCAAAAAATGGGTAATTTATTTTTTTATTTTTAATAATATGTGGTTTCTTTTCTGTATTACATTCTTTATTTAAATAAAGTATTCTAATAAATAAAGCATGTCAATAAAGAAATAAATAATGTTGTAATAAAAGAGAAAAGTGTTAATACAGTAGAAAAAAGCATGTCAAATTACATTTGTTGGAATTCTCTTTTCCTGTGTTAATTTGTAAATAATACATTACTGTGCAAAAACGCGATTTTCGCACATGCAAAATTCACGTTTTGAACACACAATTTAAGCTAAAAATATGAAACAAAAACAAAAAATTTAGATAGCTAAAACGTAAAGTTTCTAACCAAAAATATTTCAGAAGAATCCATGTACACAGTGATATGTTTAACTTAAAAAAAAAAAAAAAAAAAAAAATCGCAGAATTGCACAATCTGTGCGGCAAAAGAATCTACGATTTACACACACCTAGCTTAAATAAATTTCAAAGAATACAATGTATATAGCATTGTGTTTAATCTTAAAAAAAAAAAAAAAAAAAAAAAAAAAAAAAATCTATGAATTGCACAATCTAGGCAGCGAAAGAATCTATGAACTATGCACACCTCGCTTTAATAAATTAACATAACGATAAATTGCAAGAATACCGTGTACACAGTGTTCTGTTTCAAATTAAAAAAACAAATGAATGCACATAAACCAGTACAGAAAATAACTAACATAGAGAATGCTTCTTTCCTATGCAGGAAATACTACCAAACTACATTAGCTTACTAAATTGCACAATCTAGGCATTGTGCAATAATCAACAAAATAAACTAAAATAAATTTCAGACAATTACAAAAAAACAATAATGACTGAAATTCATACTAAAAAACAATGAACATAAAATTCTACAAAATAAGAACAAGAATATAATGAAATGCACTTACCATGAGAGAATGCTTCTTCGAACAACAGAAATACCAATTTCGTGCTGCCATGTAATCACTATCCAGAAAATTGATACTATCTTTCACAATTAAATGCTCAAAATCTTCTTCTCCTAAATCCTTGCAGGATTTCCATCTATCCGAAAAAAATAGTTTTACCAGGTTCAATCCACTTTTTAATACACTGCATGAGAGTTTCCTTTCTTCTGTCATGCACGGCCACCATAAATAATGTCCCAGACTCTCTTTCCACACCTCCAAATACCCACTGCCCCTCCACAGGATGACCACGATGATATTTCTTTTTGCCGAACTTCAACTCGTCAACTTCAACCACTTTATCTTTCCCTACTATCTTCTGAGATACAGAGTATACAAAGTCCAGCATACATAAATCACTTAAATTTCTCACACCACACAAACCAACTAGCAACTGAAATCCAAGTTTCCACGTAAAAAGGGGTGCCATAGAAACCAACATCACAGAACATGTAATCGCGCCAAAAACCAGCGCACAACACATATCGCCGCATTTTGAGGGTGTATAACAGAGTGGTACCATTGGTTTATATGCATAACGATATATAAACATAAATATAAGTGTTGAAATGTGTCTATAAAATAATGAATTCTTTGTTAGTTTGAAGATTTTGAGCAGATGATACCCTGTCCCTTCAGATTATTTATTAGTGAATCTTCGGATTATGGTAACTGGGCGAAAATTTGGCGACCAACCCTGCTACAGCAACCTGCTAGTTTTTTTAGTTAATCTTTGGATTATGGTAACTTGGCGACTTTTTGGCGAAAAATTTGGCAACTAACCCTGCTACAGCAACCTGCTAGTTTTGTTTTGGACGCAATTTTGTTTTCACGAAGTAAAGGCATGTTTTTTTTTTACTCAACATTTTTTCCAACAATCTGCTAGCCGAATTACGCTTATACTAGAACTTTTATGGGACAAAAATGCTTAATCATGACGAAGATTACGTGAGAAATTGAGAGAAAGTGCAGAATCGCAAACTGCTTGCCGCGTTTTCAAGAATTGCACATACACGGTATCATCCATGTACATGTCGACCTATTTTGACTTAAAAAAAATCCCAGAATTGCACAAAAATGGCATTGCGCACACTCTTGACTTTATCCATGTACACTGCTAAAGTCCTAGCTAGTAACTTTTATCGCCTTACAAAATGTTGCCAAACTGCATGTTACCATATTCCAAAGATTAGCCAATTTATCTTTCATTATCACCTTAATATAGGGAACAATATTGCCTTCAGGTAAAATCAATAGATTATTGGAATTACACTAGAAATAAGAAGAAACAGATGTAGAAACAATTTAAGTAATTTTGCTTGAAATTATTTGTCCAAAAAAGGTCTCGGTATTTTGTTTGACAGAAGGCTCATAAATTCATAAATAAGGTAAATGGATATTTCCTTTGTGTAGTACTAAGATGAATTCCCTTTTTATGTTATATCATTGCTTGATTTAAAATGTAGTTTATTGAGATTATATATTTTTTGTTGTCTTCTCCTTTGACTTTTTAAGTGAATATAGATCCATGTGCACATGGACAAGGGAGTGCGTAATGCCTAGTTTGTTCAAGTCTCTGATTTTTTTAAAGTGAAAATACGTCGATGTGCACATGGATACCGAGTTTGTGCAATTCTTTGACTTGTTATTTTGGCTTTGCTACTGAGACCTTTTTTTATATGCATTTTAAATGAGATTGTTATTCCTTATCCTGTATTAAATTCATTCTTGTCTTTCATGCATCCATAACTTCCACATCAGACTGTGAATCCATCAGCTGCTTTCTAACTTTCTAAATTGTCCTCGGTGGCAGCTTGTTTTTAATATCATCGATGGTTATCTGAGCACAGATGAAGTAGATAGACATAATATTTCTCCATGCATGATCATTCATTCTGTCTGAAATTTGCATTCCTTGAAGTCTTATTAAATATAGAACAAAAAATATGGATCAAGAAAAATAATATATTTGTAATCTCCATGTTTGAATTCATGCCATTTCTACTTGTGTGCATTATATAACTAAACTATTGCCTGTATCAAAAACTGTAAGGGAGAGCTGCCAAGAAATTTAGCTTTTACTTTTGTAATTCTAAAGTGTGCATTCTTCTTGAGAATTGATAATAAAAGGGACATATTTGTTGGTATCATTTAAATGTAAAATTTTTTTTGATGCTAATAAAATGATGATTATATGTTATATTTTTTCTGCATTCTGAGTACTTGAACATAACGTGGAAATAAATCCTTAGTAATATTATTCTGTTTTTACATTATTACTCAGTATATAAATAAACTCTCCATTTTTTTTAGGTTCCCAATTCAAAGCACTGAAGAAGCTAAGATTGAAGTTCTCGAAATAATTAATTATAATTTGATTACAGTCCAAAGACATTTTGGTAATGGTCTTTAAAATGTATTATTTCATTGTAATTTATTTAAGGTTAGGTACTCTACTATCTTTAAGTGTAGGAATAAATATAGTAAAGTGTGATTAATAAATTATGCATAGTAAGAGATTAGCAATGTAATATTAGTATAATTTACTGTATCCTATGTTATATATTTTTTCTGTTTGTTCTTTCTGTTACGTGAGAAAGTAAACGATTCTGATCTTTTTGCATAACCCTAGATGACAAGATATGGAAAAAAAAATGCTACTGCTATGTTCTGTAGTTTCATGTGCAGTTCTAAAAAGTGGGAAAAACAAAAGTGCTGCCTCTTTTTTTGAAATGCTGAAAGAGGGCTCTGAATTGCACGTGTGTACTTGTATTGGTGGATTAGCCAAGCGAAGACAAAACTGAGTGATTTGGTTGCTGTATTTCACTATGTTACAATATATTAACTATGTTACAATATAATTTGCAAGTCGTAATATACAGTATTATAACTTACAAATTCTTTATTTCCTTAAAAAAAAAAAAAAAATTTTTTTTTGAGGCTGGGGACAAACTATGGTCAACTAAATCTGTGGAATATGGGAAGACAGTTGTAGTGAGTGTGTATTTTATTCATCACCTTGGATTGGTATTCTCTATATTTAAAAACAGATATGTCAGTATATTGAACATAACATTTTTGCCTGTGATGTGTTTTAATTTGTGTGCTTTTATGTAGTTTGTTTATTATCTTTTCAGTTTTATATATTTTAATCATAAAAAGAGTTTGTGATTGAGTGGATTTTTGTTACCTTGCTATTTTACATATGCTGTTTCTTTCAGTTTAATCTATTATTGTTCATTTGTAATATTTGTGAAAGCATTTGGTTTTTCATTTATGGATTTAAATCAGACATGGCCAAACTGCGGCTCTCCCACACCCTAACTGTGGTTCGTGATCCCTTGCGATCTGAAATGCAACTTGTTTTGAATAAATATGGTTTAATTTTTTTTAATACAAATGGAATTAAAATAGAAATCATGCAGTGGCACGTTTCTTTATCAATCACTAATTTAATTTCTGATATTATGTATGTAAAAATTTGTTAGGTTCAAACTGTTCACTGCTGACTTATCATCAGAGCAGCAAATACATAAAATTACAAGTAATTCCATTTCTGGCAATTACTATTCTGGTTATGTTACTTTTTGAGCTGGTAATGGTCATTGGAATACACTAATGCAAAGTTAATCTAAAATGCAATGCTAATATTGTTATTTAATTATTGTGCATATCTTTTCTCTCAAGTTAATTTAACTTCAGGCAGTATCTGCTTACATTCCTGTATGATCCCATTGTTCAGAACATTTGTGATCCACCTGGAAGATTTGCTATTTGTTGTAGGGTACTACAAGTAGTTTTATTCAGTCCTTGAATAGCGTTAGTAACTGCTGAAGAAAACTATTTCGCCTTGCAATCCATATAGAGCTCTTTTAATCTGTGAATGAATTTTACGAGGATTTTATTTTTGGTGGAGTGAACTTTCAGCATCTTACTTGGTTAGGAGATTTGTCTCAATTTTCTGCCGAACTCCTTCAAAATTAATTTCCTATCCTTAAGCAGTCAGGAATTTTTGTGCAATTGCTTCATAGATTTCTGCAGTCTTTCATAATAATATTCTTAATGAACACTTTTCTCACATGAAACTCTAGCGTATCCATGAACTACTAGATTTATTAGCAATAGGCTATGTATGTCTATAATTATCGTAACAATTCAAGAGGTGGTTTCTAGAATTTTCGATGATATGCATGAACTTTGTTATCTATGTCCCAAATTATCAAGACAATTCAAGAGATAGTTTCAAGAATTTTCAATGATGCACACGAACTTTGTTATCTAGGTCCAAAATTAGCGCAATGATTCAAGAGATAGTTTCGAGAATTTTCAGTGATGAGCTTGAATTTCATTATCGGGACAATTCGAGAGTTAGTATCCAGAATTTTCAGTGATGTGCTGTGTACTGATTATTAAAAAATTCTGGCAGATTCCGTTTGATATCACACTGAAATACTGTATGAGTCAGGGCCATGATGAGAGAGATTGATTATATAAATACCACTGAAATTGCAATTATATATATATATATATATATATATATATATATTTTGTCTTCTGTACTGGACAGCAGTAAAAGTAGTTATTCCAAAGTTTGGGAAAAAATGTTTAACTATTTCTTCGGTTAGGATCTAAAGATTTCGAATAATCTCAGTATGTTGTTCCTTGTTGTTAATGGTGTGGAGAAACAAAATTACTTTTTAAGCAAAAGCCTAAACAAGTTAATAGCTTATTTTCAAATAAATATTCTTTCTCGAATAAGAGTTTCTCTGCCGTGTGCCTTGATGTGTGTTATTTAATTTATCCTTTCTAAAAGACTGCTAATGAGTTAAAGATAAAACACTCAGTTTTCTTTTAAATAATAATTTTAATTTACTCAAATAACATTTTTTTTATGTAATTGTAGAACAATGAATATGCTTTCGATTCATTTTACTTGTACTAAACTAAAACGATAATAATTATAAACTGAGATTTATAAAGGAAATCAGATGAAAAAAATTTGGCTTCTATACCTGAAGACAAAAACACTCAGTTGCCCTGTACAAGAGTTACAAATTTTTATTTTCTTGGGACTTAACTTTTCTAAACACAAAACAGTAAGTTACACTTATCCCATACAGCACACTTAGTTGCCATGACGTTGCAGTGAACTCTCAATGTTGTATTTTCTTCACATTACATTTATGACCACGGTACAACGTCGCAGAAATGTCGCATTGTGATGTGGATGTGAATGTCGCGCGGATGTCACATACACGTCACAGCAAACGTTTAATGTGATGACAAGAAATTCGCAGGTTTCCCCGCTCTGACCTTTCTTGACCTTGCACACTTAATTCTTCTTTAATGGGAGGTATTCCTGCTCGCTGACCTCCCTCCACCTGATTCATTGCTATGTGTTTCAGTAAACTTTCTAAATAAATGATTCCTTTATGCTAATAGCTTGCAATTTTAGTTACTTCTTTTTTATGAAAAATATTAAGTTTTTAGCGTGTTTTTATTGATGTGGTACTTCGAAATCATTGAACTATATTCTGTGGTGAATGGATTCACATTCTACCGTTCTCGAGAGCATGTGAAGTTCCGAGAACGACCGAGCAGAGTCGGGAGCTTTGCAGTGAAGTTGTCTCCACCGTTATTGCCTGACAGTGTGAAGGCTGTATCACTGATTGTTCCAGCGTGTTTAGAGTAGATCTTCGATGACTGTAAAAAGTGTTATTGGAGCTGTCCTGATTGGCTAAATAAAGTGTGTTTCTATACTTCATCAAGTGTCGTCGTTATTCACTCTCGAACCCCATATGAACATGAAGGAAGAAAATAACGTAACAACTGGTGTCAGAAAGAGAAAGAAATGCAACAATATTATAAGCCATGAATTCTTTGCATGAATGCCATGATGTTTAGTCTCTTCTTAAGAATGTACATGTTGGAACTGAGCAATGATCGTTGAGTAAGGAAAGAAAATAATGATGTATGTATACAGAGTGATTATACAGTACAAAGTCTGAGTTCGGGACTCGTTGGGACTTCACAGATTCCAGATTTGTGATTTTCCGGATATTAGATCATCTGTTTTATACAGTACAAAGTCTGAGTTCAGCACTCGTTGGGACTTCGCAGATTCCAGATTTGTGATTTTTCCGGATATTAGATCATCTGTTTTAACGCTAGTAAGATGAAATGTAAAAGTTATAAAATTAAAAATATGAAATCAGGATTTATGATATAATGAAGTATTTATGATCTGAAGTGTATTAAAATATACAAAAAAAAAAAAAAAGGCCCAGTATTTATTTGTTTAATTTAATAAATATTTGTTTCAATGTAAGTTATTTCAGGTTGTTCGTTTTTGTACTAATACTTTCTCTCTTAATTCTATAGACAAATGTAATTTCTTGTTTACTTACAAAGCTCCATGGTTCAAGTCCTCTAATTGCTGAATCAAACATGTGAGCTAACGTGCCAAATGAAATTTATTTGTTTTCATTAACCTCTCTATCACTTTCTTCACTATCGATAGCGGTATTTTCTGGATTTCGAACTAACTATACTACAGATTTCGCCATCCGTTAACTGATTAGTGATTGGTGCATTGTCATCGCAATGAGAAACTTCTGTTATATCATCTTTATTTATTACTGCTTCTCCACATTTCTGTTACAAAATCCATTAATTAGAAAATTTCACCTTTGGTTTGCAATATCCGAGAACCTCCAAATCCGTGGCTATTATCTTCGTCATCCTCACCATGAAATATGGTAGTTGGTCATAAATTACGCCAAGCATTTTAAAAAATACCTGGATACATGTCCTCCTACGATCTTGCGATGCTCCACGCAGCAGATTTTAGGCTAAAATATTTTAAAAATTTGTGAATAATATTGCCATTATTCAAGAAATTTAATATGGATCCTAAAAATGCTCCTTTATAGTTGCATTTCAGCACGCACACTATTCTGATATATTTAGACTGAATGATGGATTTACAGTTTGGAGGAAAGAATAATATGGATACATTATCTTTCAGTAAAACTTTAAGTGAAGTATGAACCAAACAGTTGTGTACAATCAAAACAATTTTTGCGTTATCAGGTAAATGAACATAATTCAAATGTTGCGGACCCTCGGTGTGAAATTATTTTCAAACAAATCATTCATTAATGCTTGTGTCATCCTTGCTATTTTATTTGCACGATATGTAATGAGAAACATCTGTACTCTTTTAAATGCTCGATATCGTGAATTTTTTCCGAAAAGTTTACATTTGTGTGTTCCTGCAGCATTTGTGCATGCTAAAATTGTTAGTCTCACCTTGGAATCTTTGACACCAGTTGGAGCCTTTTCTGGAGAGGTTGCCAAGGTATTTTGTGGTATATATTGCCAGAAAAGACCAGTTTCATCACCATTGTAAATTTGTCCCGGAGATAACTTTTCACTATTAGCTCATTTTTCACTATTCAGTGAATTTATATGCGAATAGTTCAGCAGCTTGAGTATCAGCTGAAGCATTTTCACCTGAAATTTTTAATTGTCTTATACAGTAGCGATTTTTAAATTTTGTTAACCTACCTGTCTAATATGTGCACTCAATTTTTAAGTTAATTTCTTCATGAAATATTTTGGCTTGAGGCATTAGCATTGGATCCGTGAATGGCACACCCTCGCTGCGATGATGTCTGATCCATTGAGTCATTACTTTGTCATGATCATCACTTTTAGCATAGCAAATAAACTTTTTTTTGTTATTCATTGTGAGGGGGCTGTCAGAATCCACGAAAAATTCAAACACGTTCTTTTCCTGTTTACTTATGTCATACAGTTGACTTTTGAATGCCATACTCCTCACATAATTTTGAGACGGATTATGGCTTTATTTATTTTCTGCAGTAATTCCACTTTTTGTTTAATGGATATCGAGACATGTTTTCTTTTTGTAGATCCTGTTGCAGCCCCAGGATTTGAGATATTTTTCAACATAATCAAAAGTATAAACTTTAATTTCATAAAATTACTGTAATAACAGCCTGCAAAATATAGTAAGCAAAATATAATAATCAAATCACAATGTTAGGGAACAATGCAATCTGCTATGTTAACTGAAATTCCTTGAAATCAGTAAAGTATGATTTTATCCTAGTGTAATAATGTCCGCTATACATTATTGACTATGTATCATGAGATTGGTGGCAAAAGACAAGTTATTCTGCTAAATTTTGTCTTTCTTCTATGGCACAATGAGACGAGTAATTCTGAATGGTATTAGTTTAGTTGTTTATGATACTTACATCTATTTCTTGCACATGCTTAAGGCTTATCTGAGTCCTGAATAAATAAAAGGCTTGCCGATGCAAGATATCTTATCGCCTGGTGCAGTCTCTGCAGGTGTTAAATTCTGCTACCAAGCGCCTTCCTGATTTCAAAATTTTTACCACCCCTAAATTTTGGGTCTCAATGCTTTCCCTAAATTCTAAAAATTTTGTCACTCCTTAATTTTGTTGCTCGGTGCTTCTCTAAATTAAAAAAAAAAAAAAAAAAATGTGTTCCCTAAATTCTACTGCCCGGTGTGGCTAAACTAGATCTGGCACCAGTTCTGGGTTTATGTGAATAACAAATCAGTTATTCTTAATTCAAATAGCACTAAATGTAATCTTTTGGCTTATGAGTATCATTAACAAAATCTATTTTTAGCGTATGGAAAGAAATTTTTGCTAAATATTTCCTTGCTATCATTTCTTACTGCATTTAACTTAAATCTCTAATCATCACAAAGCATAATGTCAACATAAAAGGTTACCATACTTTTTATTATTCAGTTACTAATATTTTAAAAAAAAGTCAGGTATCACTGCATGAGTCATTAATTACTCAAGTTGTCATGCGTTGATAAACATGCGGTGATGAAAGCAAAATACAGTCAAAAGTCGTTAATTCGGACACCCATAATCCGGAATGATCTATAATCCAGACCTCAAAGCTACAAACTTTCTGCGCATGCGTCACTGCGACGCATGCGCGTAAGACCTTTACGGCTGTGAATATGCGTTTGCGCGTGCGCAAAATATGTTTATGAATGCGTGTCTAATGTATAACAGATGGTATAAGGTAAGCGAAAATTATCTAATTCAGTTAATGTTGCAGATTGCATTGTTCCTTAATCTTCGAATTGGATCCGGCTTATTATTTTTTGCAGACTGTTAGAGCAATTTTATAAAAGTAAGCTTGAACTTTCGATTATGTCTGTTGGAAAATATGATTTATTGTAACCCTTTTACTGCATCATCTCTCCTTCTTGAAATGTTTATTAGGCTTAGTTATTATTTTAATGTAATATAGTAGTTACTTCTACTTCTTTTTCTTACTGCCACTGTTTGCGTTGAGAACGGACTGTTTCAACCTAATTAAGATGCAAAAACGAAATGTGATGTAACGTCATCTGGAAAGCCGAATCGTGCTGATAGCTGATTGGTTGCCGTGAGATGACGTCATGCCTACTTCTGGTAT